TGGGACTATTGCGTCTACTGCAGGTCTAATGATGCCCTGTTCCATTAATTTCTGCACTACTGGCCTAATGCTTACTTTAGCTTCAGGGCTAATCTGGAGTGGTCTTGTATAGGGTGGCTGCTTACCTGTGAACGTGACTGGGGGCATGACCAAAAGCCCACATTCATCCTTATCTTCTGACCAAATAGCATGCCCATTCACTTCGTCCTTTTGTAAGGACCATATATTGACCTGTACCTGATTGCCCTGTACCAATAATGATATCCCGTGCAATTGACATGGAGAACTGATACTGTACATCATTTCCCATACGGATGGTGACAGCTCGTGTTTCTTTTAAGCTAACCCTTTGCCCCCCCCCACCCCAGTGGCCTCTAAATGCCTTACAGAATATTGCACTTGACATCTGCTGTTCTAGCTGAAACACAATATCTGAGCTCCTGTATCCCACATCAGTACTGGAACATCATTAACTGTACATTGGAGCATCAGTTCCCTTTTTTCCCTAAATTTTGTGTTAAGCTCAGAGAGCTTTTTTCTTGGGACAGCGCCTGATCGTATGTCCTGGCTGGTTACAATAGAAGCATATAACGCCACTACCTTCCTGTCCCCATTTTCCCTTAGACGTTACTATTAAGTTGCCCGTTCCATTTGCATGGCTCATACTTTAGCAAACATATTTCTTTCAATTTTATGGGCTTCTCTAGTGAGCATCTCAAATTGCTCCTCTTTCTCCTTAAGGTCCGGGCAACTTAACATAATGGTCTTAGCGATATCAGGTTTCAACCCTCCCGTGTTAATCTGTTTTATTTACTACTTTCTTGTCTGCCAACCCGGAATATTCGATCCATAAAGTGATAAACCGTTCAGTAAAATCTGATACATCCTCATTCTTTCTACTGACAGGTTGTCACTTTCTTCCAGTCTGCTTTAGGAGGATATTGATTTTTCAATATTACCTCCCACCCTGTGGCCTCACTGTTAATTCCATATATCTCACACAACTGCCCAGCCCGTCTCTTCCCCCACTCTCTTTAAAATCATTGCTGCCTCCACGGGTTTTATGCCATACATATCTTTTAACTCTTGAAGAGCACTCCAGGTCTGTTGCATCCCTGCTTTAGGGTGGGGAACTTCTTTGGCCCATCAATCAATATCTTCTGGTTTGGCTTTATATTTGGGTATATTCTAATTTTTCTTACCCTCCTTGCCTGTATTACTATCCCTTTCTGGACTTTTTTGTCTACCCTTGGCTCCCTTTGAGTTCAGTTTTGCTTGTGCAGGAAACAGGTTCACCCCTTCTCTGTCCCTTTCATACCATGTGTCATCCCAATCAGATCCCTGGTCCCCATACAGCCAGTCGGGATGTTTATCCCAGGGGTTCCCTGCTTGCAATGGTGTCAAATCTGGATATAATTTGGGAGGCTTATTGCCCTCCCCCTCCCTTTTATTTTTGTCTGCTTTTTTAGTGTCTTTTGTCTCTACTTCGCTTTGCAGCTTATATCTTTCTTCGGTCAGGGTATCAACCCATTCTGCCATAGCTTTTAGTTTCTCTGTTAAGGACTTCTGTACCTTGTCCCATTCTCTTTATTCACTACTGGTTTGTCTACACCTAAGGTGTTCTCCTAGAATCAGCCAAATTTCGGTTTGTTTGTTTGTTTTTATTCCAATATACGTAGACCTTTTTACACTCGGGCTCCGTCAGGGTACCTTCGGAGAGGCCATATTTCTTTTTAAGTTTCTCCTCTTTCAGCTTCTTTTTCTCTGACACCCAGTCAGAAACCTCAGTTAACTTGTCTTTACACCAACTAATTTTCCCAGACCTACGCACTCCCATTTGGCTTTACTGCGTGTTTCCGTCTTCAGACGGGTGGGGTATTATCTGAAACCCCTCTATCTCAATCCGCCTGGCCTTGATACACAAACCACATCAGGCTTTACTGTGCACCCTTCATATGGGTGTGGTACAATCAGAAACCTCTCTATTTCAACCCTCCTGGCCCTGATACACAAACCATGTCGGGCTTTACTGTGCACCCTTCAGACAGGTGGGGTATTATCCGAAACAACCTGTCCAAGGTCATTCATTATTAATACTATTAATAACATCTTCCATATTGCATCAAAATTGGAGCAAGTGTATGAGGCGATGCACAACGTGTTTGCTCTATATCTCTTCAGTGTACAGAATAATTTTGGTAGAGTTAAACAACCTCATCTCAGCATAGTAAACAACAGACACTGGCTTATTTACTTAAGGTGCAACACGTCTTCACTGTCATGGTACAGTTTCAACATACTGTACAGTGTGTTCTCCATTACCACTAGAAGAACAATACAAGCTTGAAAAAAAAACAAATGTCAAAATGTCCAAAATATGTTTCTGAAATATTTTAGCTGCTTAGTTAAACAGCTCCATAATAATATTACTATCAAGTGGTATTAAATCAGTACAACTTTTATTTTTTACAGTAACAGCAAGTGGTGTTCTTACTACAGTACATATTCTTAGAAAAGGATAAAACGTTATGACTTTTTATGAAGTACAGAATATAAGTATAATAATGTTAGAACAAGCACGTAAAAACCAGAACCCATGTAAGTTACCAAGTTAAAGGCTTTGATGCATAAAATATTTATGCTGTAGCGGTGAGGCTTATTAATAAGGCAGAATTAAGTGTTTCTGAGCTTCCCAAATGAGGCCCCATTTCTCTGTTCATCTCTGTGGTGCAGCCACAGAGAAACCATTCATGCAAGGTGATTTAAGGTCCAAGGACAGCTCCCAAAGGGG